TCTGGAATATCTTTTGACATTTACCTATAAATCTTTGAATCTGATACCAGAATCTTCAATGAAACTGAACAAAAGAATGCAACACTTATGACATGAAGGACAATTGTTCGTGTTATTGCTCTGCTTCAGGCTGAGTAAAGTGAAGAAACTCATTGAACACACATGAAGAGGTTTCATGTCGTTCGTTAGAACTTTCCTCAAAGTAAAGTCTAAGAAGATTTTCGATTCAACAGGTTATAAGCATTTAATGTTACCAATTGGTTATGTATCAATGACTCAAGACATAATTGAATAAAGGATATAATTACGCAAAGACTGGCGAAAACTGTTAGAACTATTGACTTACTTCTGTTGAAGCCGACATACATGCTAAATGAAAGATTACCAATTGACCAAAGTATCAATTCGAAAACTATATGAAATCTTGAAGGTGTGGTGGAATGTAACATTAGGAACCAGATGAAGATTATACTAAGAGAGGAAGACTAAAATGAGTTCGTTATATGATTAGAAAACCGCTATGGGATTGTATGATACATTTGTGGAGTTGAATATTGTCGAACTATTTCTTATGGGAAAACTTTTTCACCATATACTACTGATCTATATAAAAGAACTCTGCACATCATTTGAAAGATTATTTGCTATCATTCCAAATAGTTATTTGTGTATCAACTGAAGAAGAACTAGCATGAGGTCAAATAGAAGTTAATAAGCTAAATTGTAATTCATTCCTGAGCACGTTTTCTTTGCTTGACTTTGAGCTGTAGGCACACTGACGGTTTCATAAAGCTCTGTTAGATGTCATCTGTTTGACAGATGAGAAGATGAGTTCAGTGATAGGTGAAAGAGACATTACGGAGGTCAAGCAACTTGTGCACACCGAATTTTTGGAAAGATCTGCTGACAAGAGATGTCTTATGATTTTTCCTACACTCATTTCAGTGTATGAATAGACATACTTCATTTTAAGACACATGACAGAAGGAAAGGAACTCCCATCATTAAGGTTCACGAGACCATGCAAATAACTGGGTTTTATATTTAAAGGACGGGCAATTATTATAAAAGACTCTTACAGTGTTTAACATAAGAAGCTTAAACTATTTCCTGCTATTTTACTTACAAACAGGACGAAAGAAGTATTTCCATATCAACTATACAGAGTGTTTTGTTAGCAAATGACAAAGAATGGTTGTCATTTTGAGCATGTAAGTTTATCATGATGCAGATACATTCATGAAAACAATAGATTTCATCAAAGGTTGCAGAATAGATGAAAACCATTGACTTAGAAAATATAGCACGTTTTCTTGCAAACAAGAATGTAAGAATTTTAAGAGAAGGTTTTTGTTGAATTAAGTTCAATCGGAGTCAATGACTTATTGAAAGAGTTTGATTTAAAACGTGTTATGATACGTTAGTATTGTTCATATTGCTACAAATTGTTTTTGAGAACAGAGTATACTTCCCCGAATGGAAATTTTTGACCTCTCCAATAAACAAGAGAATTTATTTCGAGATGCATGTCAGGTGGTGCAAAATAGATAGTATGTTGTCGAGATAACATGAAACAAAGAGCAAAAATAGAAACTCATTGCGTGACTTCGACTGTTTATCTATTATATCCTTCCGAGCTTATAAGGCAAGGGACTTGTATCACTTGTACTTGCAATGTAGTTTTCCAAAAGATGTTTGGAGAGTAAAAATGTTAAGAGGCAAGAGTATCTCATTGAGACATTTATTGAAATTAGTAATGACCAAATTGGATGGAAGGGTGGACGAAAAAGCGTCGATGATGTGAAGAAGTTTATGTCATGGCTTCGTCTGTTCCTATTAAGATAACAGGATTGGTATATTGAGGGAATGATGAGCACTCAGACAGCATATATACACAGGATCTGTGGTGAGATGCTACAGATTAACGGTTCACGGACTTGAGGAGGTTTCAATTTAATCGTTTGGGCGACCTTTGGAATATACAATCCAGAAACTTAACGTTCAAGAAGGTTTCACCCTTGCCTGTTCAATGATACTGTTGAATAGTAAAGAATATACCATTACACATTTTTAGACTGACTTTTCAGTAAGGAGATGATCAATTGAGAGGTGTAGTGTGAGAGTTTGTTCGCATGGATCTAGTTTATGTTGAAGGACCGAAATGGCATTAGCGGGCCTTAAGTGAGCAATAGAGATGAGTAAGAGTTGTTTGAGGTTAAGGGTTAAAGGTAATGGAGTAAAGGAAGGGAAGACCACCCTTTCACAAGAACTTATAGAAAGTGCATTCTCTGATAACTGAGCCTTTAAATGGGCACTATAGCTGAGGTCGTCGCTATTGAGAGTCAAAATAACGCATTGAATGTAGAGGCGTAACATGAGCAAAAGATGCTAATAAGAATCTATACGCTGATAATTTAAACATATAGTGAAGTTTCGAAGGTCTGTGGATGGTTCAGATAAACACTATTTTCAAGCTAACGAAGAAGCTGTGGTGCAAGAACTCTTTAACTTTGTCCACTTGGTGTTAATATTCGTTATGTTCAATGTTAACGTAGTTATTGAATGAAGTTTCTTGTTTACTGCTGAAGATATGGAGGCGGGTTTTCTTAAAATCGCTATTTAACCTAAGGAGGGTGTGAGAGAGGGTTGTGCCGGGACAGGATAATGTGAAGGCATTATGTAATGTGAACTGATGAAGTCTCAGCAATCGTAGCAGCAGAGTGTTTAGAAGAGAGTAGAGTTGGTCGGACTAGGATGTGAATGTGTGAGGGTGGAGTAGAACGTTCGGTGGTGCAACTCTCTCATGAGAATGCAGGAACCTAAAACGGTTTAATAGAAAAAGTGTCATTTTTTCATGTCCGAAGACTCGCGAAGGTGCAACACTTCCAAAATACCGACGAACTCAGAAGAGCAGCATGGCAGTATCTTCTTGACAACTTCTTTGAGTTCTCCAGGTACACCTTGGAAAATGCTGAAGAACTCCGACACAGAGAATTTGGAGAAATTGCACTCCAATACTACCTTGACAAACAAAGGGTAAACAAAGGGTAAACAAAGGGTAAAATAAGACTAAAAACTTAACGTTTAAAAAGTGACATTTTTATGAGCTCCGAGTCACCGAGAAAACTTGGTCAGATGTTAGCAGCTTACTTCCCTGAGGAGGATGGAAGCGTTACATACGTAAGGTTCAAAAACAACGAACCTGGAATTGCGTACCAAATTCGCAATTACATGACCATGGAAGAGTACGAAAGGTTCTACAAGAGAAACCAGCTCTAAACAACTCAGAAAAGAAAGAGTAAAAAGTTTAACTCGTAATTGTTTATTTTTTTACTTGTATGGGCAAGCTGCAAGAATGAAGTGCGACTATCTCGGTCTTTGTCTTGACCAGTTGGACTGCTCTTGCGAGTACGTCTGTTTTCGGTCTCCAGCTGGTGTCTGACCTTCGTAATTGCGCATGTTCTTGAGAGCTCCAACTGTAAATGGTTGTAGGATGAAGAGTCTCTCAGACTGCTTGAGGTAGTCTTCACGGTCACGAACCGAATCTGTGGTACGAGTCGAATCGGTCGACCTTAGGGAAGAGACTGAAAGCCTGTCATCTTCCATAGGGGCTGTGGCATACTCTTTGCGTAAACGGTTCAGACCTTCTTCGAACTCTTGGTCTCTCTTCGATTGGGATTGAGATTGGAATTGGGGTGGAGGGTTTGACATGAACATCCAAGGGTTAGGGAAGTAAGGCATGGGTTGAGGAGGGTAGTTTGGAAAGCCTTGTGGTGGGTAGTTTGGAAAGCCTTGTGGTGGGTAGTAACCTTGAGGTGGAAATTGGTAGTAATTCGGAGGTCCTTGTTGGAACTGAGGTTGCTGTGGGAGCCTTGTGGAGGTGGAACCTGTTGTGGTGCTGGAGCATGCTGTTCTTCTGGCTGTGGAACGGGTTCAGTAGGTGGGACGTCGGACATTCGTTTGTGTCTTAACCGTCTTTGTTCTGAAACAATATAATATTGTCTTGAAAAAGTACAACATTGTCTTGAAAAGTACAATATTGTCTTGAAAAAGTACAACATTGTCTTGAATAAGTACAACATTGTCTTGAAAAAGTACAACATTGTCTTGAAAAAGTACAACATTGTCTTGAAAAAGTACAACATTGTTCTGAAAAAGTTCAAGACTTGTTCTGAAAAAGTACAGCTGTACTCAAATTTGAGAGACATTGTTCTGAAAAAGTACAACATTGTTCTGAAAAAGTACAACATTGTCTTGAAAAAGTACAACATTGTCTTGAAAAAGTACAACATTGTCTTGAAAAAGTACAACATTGTCTTGAAAAAGTACAATATTGTACTGACTCAGTATGGAGCTTGACCCCTTAGACGAAGCAATTTATCTAATTGAGGTAAATGAAACCGTGAAGGAATATCTCAGCAAGTGCAAACCAAGCAAGTCCATTGGCTTCTGGTTGTCCAAGAATAGTGTCTTAAAGTTGGAAATTGAAACAGGTGTTGCAATTCAAGTTCCAGAAGGCACTGCATTCGATGATATTAAGGATGTGAAGAAAGAAGCCCTCTTGAAGTTCTTCATGAAACGTCCTTGGATACTACTTCCATATCGTGAGAGCCCAATTCCACGAATTACACAAATTCTCAGAGCACTACTTCACTACTCTGGACAGCCGTTCTTCATAACCTCAGAAGGCGACATCCAACCAATTCAGTAAACATCTCATTTTAACTTCACTTTTTTTTGTTTTTACTCACACTCGTACTCAACAGGTTTGTGTACAACTATTTCAACTGTGAACCTTGTATTGACCGGTCTTCCTGCAAATGCAAGTTCGGTCAATACACAATTTATGGTGGCAAGAAAGACAGTGGGGAATGTTATTCTGACATCTGTTGTTGCGCTCGAGAGAGAATTGAAATTCCAGACCCAACTCCAACAAACACTCAAGTTGCCGAAGACTCATGTGAAGAAGAAGCCTTCTGGTAAGTTTCTTATAGCCATCTATATGGCACGCTTTGAGTAAAAACATTTTTTTTTCTTTTTTGAATGAAGCAAGTTAAATTCGTCCCACACCAATCTCAATGGACCGATGAAGAGTTTCAAGCTATGGTTGAAGGTGTTGAGAACGACATAGACGGCGAACTTGAAGGAGCTCAAACCACAATTGCAACCAAAATTGCACAAGTCAAGGAACAGATAGCTCCACTTAAAGCTACCAAAGCTACTCTTGACCTCATGGATAGTTACCGTTTAGAAGTAAAGAGTGGAATAAGACAATTAAAATTAAAACTTCTAAACTACGAAGCTATACTCCAAAAGTTAGCAGAAATGAGAAGACTTTACCAGAGCTACTTACATGTAAGGGACTTACCTTCAAGCAGTCCGACCAAAGATGAATTTTCTGACATTGTCCCAATTTTGTCCGAAAGTCAGCTCAGATGTTTTGAACTGCTCCCAACATATCCAGAATATGAACGTTTGCCTGAACTCTTCCGCAATCTCAAAAAACGTTTTTTGGTTCTCATGTTCGAAACTTTTATCGGAAGAGACAACAAACGTTCAGAAGAAGAACAAGATATTATTTTAAACTTGTTGTATGACTTAACCGTCATAACAAGCTTTTTGAAGTAAAACCGTCATTCTCAAACCACTTCATTTTTTCGATGTCCGAACAAGCACCGAAGCCGAACACAATGGCAGATGTCCTTTCAATGTTGCCAGACAAGCGCCCAGTTCAAATTCAAATTTTGAATTTGAAAGCTCATCTGACAAACACCGTTAAGACTCTCCAAAGTAGTCTTATGGAAGAGATGAAGCTTAAAGGTGAGTTCCTCATGAACCAAGCTTCCAATGAGAAATCCTGAATGATTTGACGGAAACCTTGCGCATTTACGCGAGAGAGAACCGAGACCTTGCCAGACTCATCTACCGTTTCTTCGAAGAGATAGACGCCATCTGGAAGGTACTCGGAAAGGACAGAACAACACCGTACTTCGTGAACACAGAATTGAAGAAGGAATTGTCGAGGAAGAAGAGAAACACGAAGAAGAAGAGGAAGAAGAAGAGAAACACGAAGAAGAGGAAGTTTGGGCAACCCTTGTTGCCGATGACACTTACGAAATTTCCCAACCCTACCCATACCAAATCCGCAACAAGGAGACAGGCAAGGTTCTTACCCCAGTCCTCAACAACTTGGGACACTTGAACCTTACCCTTCGGAATCGCGTTCAATCTCCATGGGCAAGCTTGTCGCAATTCAATGGGTTCCAAATCCAACAAGAAGACGAAGGTCAGACACATTGACGGTGACAAGCTCAACAACCGTAAGGAGAACCTCGAGTGGTTCTAAGAGTAAAAAAATTTTATTTTAGGGGGAAACCCCGAGTAAATTTAGGTGTTTATTTAGTTAAGTGGTTAAATTAAGGGTAATTTGGACAATTAGTCCCGACCTCTGAATTGGACTCTTTCGTCATCCCAGTTGCGTAGGAGGTCGTCCCAGAGGAGTTGGTAGAATTGCCAATCCAAGGACGATTTGTCCTCCCAGGCATTGAGGATGTACTGCTCGTAGAGTTCATGACCTCTGCCTTGCACCAGACACCCTCTCCCTTGGAACGTAAGGCTTCTTCGAAGTGCTCGAATGCGATTGGCTGCGGGACCATCTGAAATGACACTTTTTGTCCGTTTGGTCAATGTTCGTGTCTCGTGTCATAGTCGACGAAAATACAAACAAACAGGTTATATATGAGTTTGAGACCAAGAATGGTGTAACTCGACCTGTCCGATTCAAATTCGAATAAAAATTTTTTATTTCATGCAATGTTTTATTTCTGTGCCGTCTTCAAGTATGCCCCAGTACTTACGCTTGGAGAGGACATGAACTTCGGTGAAAATTTTGTCCAATTTGAATTGACCCATCTTTTCACCGACCATGCCCATTTCAATGAGTTTGTTGTACCTTCTTCGTTCGTCATGAGTGCGTCAATGTTCTCATAGTAAACCTTGACTTTGGATTTGACTTCGGAGAAGAATTTGTTGTAGTTGTCAAGGACTGCCTTTGCGAACTGAGGGTAAGACCAATGTTCGACAATAGGTTTTAATGTGGTTACTAAGCCACTTTGACCTTGAGTGAATTCGTACTTCAAAACAAAAGGAGAAAACCTTTCAACGAAGTTGTCGACCTTCTCATAATGTTTACTCTTCATCTCTTGAGGTTTTTTAATGGAATATCCCCATGTCGAATTCATAAGCAATTTGAGTGTCATTGCAAGTTTGGGGTTTGAAGCTTTCCTAATATCATACAGTTGTTGTATGACTTTTCCAACTGTATAGTTCCTTCCCGAGAACTCACCGTCTTCGTTTGGAATTCCAGTTGGAATATATTGGACGAACCTCATGTACGCAGCGTTAAGGTCGACATAGTATATCTTTTCGTCTGAGTCGAACTTGTCGCATCCAATCGGTCCAGTTTGTGGAAATTCAAGTGAGTCTCTTATCTTCTGAGAAACTTCTCCTGTTATCTCATAAACATCGTCGAAGCAACCTGTTTCATATAAAACCTTCTGACCTAACTCAGATGCTCTCCAATACAATTTGACGTCAATTGGATGTCTCAATGGAAGTTTGTTTATAGCATCTTGAAGTTCTTGCAACCTCATTGGAAGTTCTTCTGGTTCAGGTTGGTATCCGAACAATCCAACTCCTTGTGGAACTGTGTACTTCTTTTGTACTAGAACTTTGTCTGGAACAACTTTTGGTCTTGCTAACAATGAAAAGTTTGTTTCGTCTTTTGGTACAAAAGTTTCTGTCAGCTTGTCATCTGGAATTGGTTCCAACAAACCTTTCTCGAAAAGAATGTTTACAGCTCTGACAATGTTGCACTTGCCTTTCCGAACATAAGACTTTCGTTCAACATGAAGTGGTTGTGGACAATTACAATCTTCAACCATGGTAAGTCTTTGTCAACAACATAGTCGTCATGTGAAGAACCTTTAGCTGTAGGTATGTTGACTCGGATATTGACATTTGCCAACGGTGCAATTTTTGCCAATTGACCTCTGAGAATGTACCTTGTCTTCACACATGACTCAAGATACTTCATCTTCTCATCTGTAACAAGACCAGAGTTCCTGAGACATGTAAGAATACAAGGTTCATTGACAATTGTTTCAATTGAATTGTAAATTCCATACCTTGTCAAGTCAATGTCAGACTTATTTATGAACGGGAAGTATCCAGCATGTTGTCTGACTGCTTGAGGGTTAGGTTGGTACCATTCAAATTTTACACTTGCAATTCCTTCAATTGCATTCAAAATGTCTGAGTCGGAGTCAAACATTTGTTCTCTCTTTGTAGTCTTGAAAGCGTCAAGAAGTTGTGCGGCTGTTGTGACATTGCCATGTGCATAGTAAATGTGACCGTCCAAATCTGTTACGGTTAGTCTGAGATTGTATCCTTTCTTATTTCCGTCTTGTATGGCAGCAAGTACCCATGAAGCCTTCTTTGTTCTTTCCTTCGTCAAAGTTTACTGTAAAGGTTCGACCAGATGTAATTTGACTTCTAACTTCACGGTACTTTTCATATGCATATCTTGTTCTTTCCATGGGAGCATGTTTGTCTTCACCTTTTCCTTTTTTCCTTCTCAAAGGATGCAATTGTTCGTCATGTTTCCAATAGAATCTGGCAAAGCCGTCGTGTCCTTCAACTTGCGGTTCAGTAACATTGAAAGGCATGTCCATAAGACGTTCTTCTTCTAACCTCTCTAGTCTGTTTGGATAATTTGCACGTGCTGTTTCCAAATCCATTTCGTAGGTCAGACCAGCCAGTTTGTCATAGACTTTTATGGGTCTTCCCTTCCTATATTTAAACTTCTTTGAAACTTTCCAACCATATCTTTCTAACTCTGCTTTTATTCTAGCAGACCTTCTATCCATTCTATACGGGGGCATTTTTATAAAAATAAAAAAATATTTTTTTCTTTACTTTACATAACCGCCTGCTGCCATAAGTCTTTGACGCCAACCCATACCAGCTAATGAAGGTTGACTTGGTTTAGTTTGGAAACTAAACTTTGGTTTTGGTTTATCTTCAGTTTTTGGTTTTTCTTTCTTCTATCGGTTTTTCGTCACTTTTCGGTTCCTCTGACTTTACTTCACTTGCAGGAACAGTTGTGTCGTCAACATCTTCATAAATATCATATGCCATTTGTTTTTGTTTCCTTTCAACTTTTTGTGTTTGTTGTAAAGTTTAGAATATTTCGACTCTAAGTCAATGAGATGTTCTATAATGAACTGTTGGTCAGTGAAGTAAACTTTTCCATCTGTTGTCTCGAAAGCTCCTTCAGACTTCAATATTTTATTTGTGAGAGTCTGTTTCTTTTTTGAGATACTAGCCGTTCCATTTCTATGAAAAGTGACTTTATAGTTAGGGTTTGTATTTCCAGACCTGGCACTTTCTATTATTGAATTTTTCTCTTCATCTGTAAGTTCTTTGACAGGTTTTGACAATGGTTCTGAACTTTTTGTTTGTGGTGTCAAATCTACCGTTTCAACTTCTTCGGTCATTTCATCTCAGTAAAAATTTTAGTTTGGTTTGTTTTCAACTGGTTGTTTAGGTTTTTTAAGTCGGTCTAAAACTTCTTGAGGTATAGGAAGGACTTGACAAACACGTGGTTGTGTAACTGCTGGAAGCCGACAAATCCATCTTGAGCCCATTTGTCTCAATGCTGTATTGTTCATTTCATCTCAGTAAAAAATTTTACATTCCCCACGTTTGAGGCGGTTGAGGTTGGTTATTGTTTACCCACTGTTGTGCATGGTTATATCCTCTGTTAAAGAATCTTTCACCTTGGTCCATATAGTGTCCTGCTTGGTTATAGTAGTCATTTGCTTTGTTATAATAGTTTCCTGCTTCTCTTCCTACATTGTCCATCCAGCCTTGAACTTTTCCTCTTGTTTCAGGATTTGGAATAAGATTTGTTGCATCTCGTGCTACCTCCCAACCTTTCTGTACAGTTTGTATAATAGGTTGTGCTTTCTCTTTCAGTATACCTAATGTACTCAAAATCTTCCTTCCAATTCCAAATGCACCTCTGGCTATTGTTCCCACTGCGGGCAAAAATCTGGATGCAACTCCTGCTAATGCGCCAAATAAACCCATTTCTTATAGGGTAAAAAATGACGAATCCAAACAAGGACCCCTATGTTTCTAAAGCGACAAAGAAAGCACTCATGGTAAAAATCTTTAGTTCAACACCAAATGCTTGGTTTATGGATATCTTGGAAAACATTCCGAGAGTTAGAACAGATGGACCTCCATACTGGCTAATATTTGTCGGTCAAAACACAAGATACTGTGAAGCCATACCATTACAGTCCAAAAATATTTTAGATGTGAAAACTGCTTTGACAATATTCGTTGACAAATACCATCCAACAAAACTGACATCTGACTGTGAACGTTCTTTCAAATCAGACGATATTAAAAACTATCTGCGTTCAAAAAATGTAAACCAATATTTCATTGTCGACCAAAACCATTCTGCTCTTGGTGTCATTGACAGTTGTATAAAAATCTTAAGAGACTTAAACCAACCACAAGGTGGTGAGGTAGATGAAATGTCATATGACGACAAATATAGACACTTCTCCATGGCAAAGATGAGACAAGTTTTAAATATTTACAATAACCGTAAACAAAAAGGTTTGGGAAACCACTCCCCCGAAGAAATGAAAAACAACCCCGACTTAGAGAAAGACTATATATTTAATAGTTTAGTCAAAAGAGACAAACAAGAAAGAATGCCAGGCTTCAAACTTAAGAAAGGTGACAAAGTAAAAATAGAAATACCTAAACGCGACCCATATGAAAATACTATTGACTATGACAACAATGGGAACTCGACAGGTACTCGCATTCGTGTTCGTAAAAATAGAAGAAAGTATACAAGAGAATATTATGAAGTTTTAGGCAAACATGGCAAAATGTACAGACTGCAAGCAGAAGATAAAACTACTATTGTCAGACCTCGTTTCAAACTTGTCAAAGTTCAAGGTGGTATACTTTCAAAGACAGTTCCTAACAAATATAAGACAACTCCTGACGAATATGCTAAAGAAGTTGAAAATGACGACTAAGCATTTCTATACCATGCGTAAACTGTCATGTAAGGTGGCATGTAGTCTTTACTCTGTCCCGTTGTTTCCGAATATCCTGTAATGCGATGTGTATGGCTTCCTCCTCCCTGAGTGTCATCCCAGTAACAATTTATAGCAAACTTAACGTCGTCTTTAACATCATATCCTTTACCTTTTGTCATTCCTGTCCAATCCCAATATCTATGCTTATGCCAACCTGCTTCAGCTGTAGTTAAATTTATGTAGTGACTGTGTGCAGGTAAGTTTTCACCTGAAATCGTTTTACTTCCACCTGTTACCTTTGAAGAGTTTGCACAATACAAAAACCTTTCGACTATTTGAGTCCAAGTTCCAAAACCAAGTACTACTTCTGGTCTGGTAGAGTTCATTGACGTATAAATAGAACCTATAGGATATACTGTTTGAAGTATTTCAATCTTTAATGTTTGAAGCTCTGTTTTGTCTGCTTTCTTATATAACCTTTCTTCAAGTTCATTTACGTCAGAGATGCTATGTCTATGATATTTTTGTGGGTATGTTCCTTCTGTCCATGCGAAAATACGTTCTTTTGTTGCATCTACATATCCTTTTATCCATGTCGAGTCTGCTTTTGTATTCCTTAACTCTGTAACACCTTTCTCAAGCTCTTTCAACTGTTGTCCATCTTCCATTAAACCTCTGGTATGACTTGAAACCGTTTGTGTCAACATATCTACAGTTTCTTTGTCGGCTTTAAGGTCTAAACATCCTGAAACCCACCCTGTATTGGCTTTACCTTCTAAAATCTTCGATGTCCGTTCATGGTACCATTCAACCCTTTTTATAATTTCATTGTCTTTTTCATCCACATATTCCTTATCTGCCTTCTTCACTAACGCACTAGCCACACGTGCTAACTCATCGTCAACATACTCTTTGTCAGCTTTGTTGTCAATATCTGCCTTCAAAAGAAGTTCATCTATAGGCTTCTCGTTTAAAGTTCTTTTTGTTGGATTTATACAAACAGTATGGTTCTTACTGTCTTGAAACAGAAACTCATCTGTCATTGGGTTTATCGTCAGTTTTAAGTTTCCTTCTTTCAATGACTCAGATATCTTAGAATAGTTTGAAAAGTTTGTTGTGTTCTTATTTAGAGCTTGCAAAATGAGTTGTCGGTTGTGTTGTATTTCTCTCATAGACGCTGTTTCTTTCGACATTTTTATTCTAGATAAAATATGCTTTCAATAGAAAAAGAAAATTCAAGAGTTGCTACAACTAAACCATTAGATGAACTTTTTACTAATGTCGGTCAAAAGTTTGAGACAGAGACCGTAAAGCATGAAGGCTATCGTTTTGACTACCCGTTAAGATGGTTAAGAGACCCATCTGTCACAAAAGCTATTGGCTTTCGTAGAATGAAGTTTGTGTCTGTAGAAGATAAAAGTTTTCCATTTATTGTAAGGTTTCATATAGATTATATATCTGAAGGGAAACGAAAAATGTGGGAAGAAATTGAGCTAATACAAGTTGACCTTTCATCTTCTCTACAGACTGCGTTAAAAAATATAGAAGATAAAATAAATTCATGTTATGCAAAATATGCTGATGAATATGCAAATACCGAGAGCACACTTTATGTGAGAATTGTATATGACAAACAAAATTCACAAGTGTCATTTCAAATCTACGAAGACAATCCAAAGAAAGACGAACAAATATATACAGAATTCACTGCAATGTCATGGTATTATTTGCAAAGAATGTTAAATCAGAAAGTCGAACTTCCTTTAGCAAATATTTACAGTCGATATGCAAGAGATGAACCATATTTATTTAAAGATGTTTTCGACCCAGCTGCTATTATTGTTCATGCTTCATTTTCTGGCGCCCAAAACTCTTTTTTATGCTTGGCAAATGACTTTTACGAAAAACCTACAAAGTTATACGAACCACCAAGTGGAAGTATTTCAGACTTTCAAGTATGGTTTACTACAGATGGAAGAAAAAGAATAATTCCATTATACCATGCGTTTTACTTAGAACTTAGTTTCATATACAACTACTATCGAACGGTAAAAATATAATTTTAATACGGTTGAGGTGTTGGATTTGGTTGCCAACTAGACTGTGGTGCAGGTTCAGGCTGTTGTATAACAGGAGCTTGTTCTTCTGGTTCAGGGTCTTTAGGTATAATACCAACAAACTGACCTACTCTTTTACCAATATTTTTGACTCCGTTCCAAATTCCTCTTCCTACGGTTTTTATTCCATTCCATATACCTCTTCCAATATTTCGAAAGAAGTTTCCTATTCTTCCAAAGAAACCCATTTTACTATATGTAAAAATCTAATGTCCGCCTAGTCTCTTACGTTTCCTGTTGAGTTCCATTGCATTCTTTAACTGGAGCTCATACATTCTATTTCTCCTCTGGTAGAAAACATATTCTGGGTCAACTCCTGTGTTCGCGTCATCTGCATAGAGTTGTTTATATCCCACTTCAGGGTTTGTATAAAACTCTTTCCATCTCATATTTGCATACCATGGTGGCAAACCTAACGCAGCGTCATTTGACATGGCAGTTTGCATTTGTACATCTGTTGGCACTTGACCATAGTTTGCCATTGCAGTTTGTATTCTAACTTCATTTGGAATATTCTCTGGGTTTGGTTGTCCAGGTTGCTGTGCATTCGCTAAGTTCTGTGCGTCCATTTAATATTAGATAAAAATATCTCTTACGAGTACATATACTGAACATTTGCAGGCATTGGTTCATCTTCATATTCTCTGTACCTTTCTGCCACGTCAAATAAATAAATGACACAATGGAAAAAACCTAAAACAAGTAGTCCTATTTCAAACCACATTTACTTACTAGTAAAATTTCTTTGTTATGACACTTTCTCCAGTTTATAGGACCTCTCTCATATTCTATCTTGTCATATCTAAACTCATAGTCATGTATGTCCTCTAACCATCTCATAACGGTTTCCAAACCACTTTTATCGGATGTAAAGTAAAAGCATGGATGGTTATGTAAAACGTCTAAAGTTTCTAAAGAGTCTCTCAAAGTCCAGTCTACTTGGTATTGAAAATCCCATGTGTTATAGAACGGCGGGTCCACTATAAAGAAAACATTTTCCTTGTCTTTATATTTTTCATACAACTCTGTCCAATGACATCTCACAAACTCTATACCCTCAATATATTTTTCTATGTCCTCTTTGAAAACATTTGTATAGTTAAGATATAAAACTTTTGACATAAGTGTTTCAATGTCATGAACTCTTATAGCACCACTATATAATAGTCTAGCAGATATACTATCCCAGTCTATATATTCTGCTTTTTTCAAAACCTCTCTCACAATATTTTTCTTATCTAATGGTATACGTTCCATCTTACCTATAGGTATCTTTTCTTTTAACTCTTTCAATATTTTGTTTGTGTCTGGTATATGTTTGAGACGGTCCATATAGTTGTCGAAGTCATTGCATATAATCTTTGAGTCTGGGAATATTGTATGGCACAAATGGGATATATAGAAACTTCCACCGAACAAATCTACAAATGTTAGACCATTCGGTAGTTTCTTAAGTTCTCTCAATATAATATCTTTACATTTACCCTTATTTTCAAAGAACGGTAACGGTGGTTTTGTAAAATTCATTTATATATAATAATAAAAATGTTTTTTCCTGAAAAGTGACAGAAAAGTGACAAAACATGAAAACATATATAATTTGTGAAAAGCGACACATTATATAATGTTTTCGACCCAGAAGAAGGCTTCTTCCCAGAAGCAATGGAGGAAGAAGAAGAGTCCTCCGAATAAAAACTTCATTTATACTAAACATCAACATCAGGGCTAGAAGGCACGAAGTGCCTGGAAGC